TTTCCAGGTAAGAAACTGAGATATAATCATACTGAGTAAAAATTTTTTCAAGGTCATTGGACAGAAGAGAGGCTGGGGTCCATCCTCAACATTTTTCTTGGGAGTCTGTCCTCAGTTACTCTGTAGAATACATGATATTTCTCCCACATCTGAAAGCCTTTTCTTTTTGAAATTGTGTTTTTATTTTTTGTTTGTTTATTGAAAGCCTTCTTTTTATGCCTGATAAGGCAATATATACAAAAATAGCAGGCAAACATATTTAGGTTTGGCATGTAATAAAAAATTCTATGAGTTCTATCAAAATGACACATACTTCCTTACTTAATTATTCAATTCCTCCAAGTTTATTTATAGTTTCAACACCTATGATCCCTATATTTGGAAGATGGAGGTAGGAGGAACAGGAATTTAAGGTTATTCTTGAGCTATAAATCAAGGTTCAAGCCAGCTTGAGCTACATGAAACCCTATCTCAAAAAAAACAGAATTAATACTAATATATAAAAATCTTCCTTTTCATCCAGGCAGTGATGGCACACAACTTTAATCCCTGCACTTGGGAGGCAGATGCAGGCAGATCTCTGGGAGTTCAAGGCCAGCCTAGTCTATAGAGTGAGTTCCAGGACAGCCAGGACTATGCATATAAACCCTGTCTCGAAAAACAAACAAACAAACAAGCAAGCAAGCAAATAAATAAATAAATATTTTTATGTGTATAAAATAGTAATATTGATTCTCATACTTATCAAAATGGAGAATGCCAAGACACTGGGTATTTAGACATACACCTATAATCCTAGCACTGAGGCAGGAGTACCATTAATGAGTTTGAGGCTAGCCTGGGCTATGTAGCAAGTACAAGACCAGCAATAGCTGCATAGCAACATTTGGTTTCAGAGAAATTAAATAAAAACATTCTAAAGAAGGAAAAGATAAAGATTAGCCAAAACATCTTGAAAACTTTCAGTGTCTAATATAACTGAATATCAAGACTAAGCGTTCTTTTTCACTCAGAGTCATGAGATGCTCTGTAATACTATCTTCTAGAAATCTTGTTTTACTTTCATGCCTGCATTAGTAACTCATGAGTATTTGTGTCTGTGTAGGAAGCCTATTGACCTAGGTGTGTTTAGTGAAGACAGTCTGACCTTCACTGCTCTTTGTTGCCATTCTTAGAAGAAATCAGTGTTCACTTGTGTGAATTTGTTTGTTTGGTTTCCTGAGACAAGGTTTCTCTATATAACAATCCTGATTGTCCTGGAACTAGGATTGAAGGCATCCTAGTTCCTGGCCTGACTTCATTCTGTACTTGGACTGATGCTAGAAACTGCCGGCTTGTGTTTCCTGTGCTGTTAGCCAGTCACTGGGGGTGCTGTTTTAATAATGGAAACTGATTTTTTAAATTATTATTTTGTGTGTATGGGTGTTTTACCTGCATGTATGTCTGCTCATAATGTGTGTGCTGTGCCTGGGGAGGTCAGAGAGGGCATTGGATTCCTTGAAACTGGAGTGAAAGGCAGTTGAGAGGCAGTGTGTGGTGCTGGGAAACAAACCCTTGTTTTTTGGAAATTAGCCAGTGCTCTTAACCACTGAGCTGTCCACTACCCTGATTTTATTTGTTTGTTTGTTTGTTTGTTTTGTTTTTGTTTTTCGAGACAGGGTTTCCCCACTACCCTGATTTTATTTATTTATTTGTTTGTTTGTTTGTTTGTTTGTTTTGTTTTTGTTTTTCGAGACAGGGTTTCTCTGTGGCTTTGGAGGCTGTCCTGGAACTAGCTCTTATAGACCAGGCTGGTTTCCAACTCACAGAGATCCACCTGCTTCTGCCTCCCGAGTGCTGGGATTAAAGGTGTGCGCCACCAACACCCGGCTATTTATTTTGTTTTTGGGTGGTTTGTTTGTTTTGAGACAAGGTTTCTCTGTGTAGCCCTAACTGTCCTGAAACTTGCTCTGTAGACAGAGGCTGGACTCAAAACTCAGAAATTTGTCTGCCTCTGCCTCCCAAGTGATGGAATTAAAGCTGTGCACCAACATTGCCCAGCCTCTCCTGACACCCTGGCTCATTTATAAAAACTTAGTTACTTATAGCTGAGGATGGGGGACTTGGTATATATGTGTAGAAGTCAGAGGACAGTTTGGGGAAGTTGGTTCTCCTTCTACCATATGAATTTCAGAGACTAAATTCAGGTTATCAGGCTTGGCAATAAGCAGCTTTATCTATTGAGCCATCTAGACGGTTTATTAAGGGATGTCATGGATGTTATAAAGAGAATGTTGGACTGGGCATATCATTTGCCTATAATCCTGTCACTCAAGAGGCCAAAACAAGATCACAACTTTGAGCTCAGCCTGAGGTACAATGAAAAAGAGACTGAGAAGTGTTTTCTGTTATGTCTGTATTCTGATTCTGTTTATTTTACTTTGTTTTGTTTTGAGACAGTTACAATGTAGATTTTTTTTTTCTTTTTCACCCCCCTTTTTTCTGTTTTTGGTACAGGGTGTGCTGTGTATCCCAAGCTGGCCTCAGACCTTGCGACCCTCCTGCTTCAACCTCCTGAGTGTGTGTGCCACCTCCCATGTGTATATACAGCTCAAAGTAGATATTTTCACTTTTAAATCCACCTCATTCCTTAAATTGCATATAAGTAAAGGCAGGAACTGCGCCTTACATTTGGAATGATCAAAAAACTAAAGAGGACTCATGAGTACACTACAAAAGGATTAGATATTACCAGGTATAATTTCTGCATTGTACCATTAATTATATGTAGAATCTTCTGTTTCTACTTGCTTATTAGATCTAATTTGTGCATTAGAAGTTAGCAGCTATTTAATAGGGTAGAATCAACATGAGTGCTTCTGTTCTGTTTTTTGAAACATGCCACAGTCTTGTGATGTGTGGAGGACACAGAAAGAATGGATATGTAAAATACAGAGTGATAGATAGAGTTCCAGAAGTCCTCAGGTTTTTTTCCCCCCTTTTTGAAGCTTTTTGGCTTTATTTCTATTTACTAATAAGTAAGTTTCCATTTTTAGGACTAGAGGTGTAACTCAATGGGAGAGTGCTTGACCACTGAGATAATGAATGATAATCTTATGTAAATGAAATTATTTGGTCCTTGTGTGCAGAACTGGACAGTACGGATGGTGCCAAGGTTTTTAGTAAGCAACCAGGCAGAATCCAGAGAGTGGCTCGAGGGTCAGGTGTCTCAACGAGAGATGTCCAAGAACTTCTGACGCAGTATACCAAGTTTGCACAGATGGTAAAAAAGATGGGCGGTATCAAAGGACTTTTCAAAGGTAAGGGGGAAAAATGCTTTATCACTTAAAAGAATGAATTTAAGAAATAAAGTATTACTGGATAAGTTGCTGCTGAATTAATTTTATATTGTTGGACTTGGGGGCTTAGGTCAGTGCTAGGGCCTATCTTAGTCCCTGGGTTCCATCCCAGTACTGAAGAAGACAGACAATCTGAACTTAATGTTACAGTCCAGTGCCACCAGGATTTATCATGTAATATATGACTTACCTGTTTTTAGAATCAAGTTGGTAGACATTAGTATGAAAATGATTTTATTTCTATCAACATACATTACTATAGAATATTTAGAGAATGTAAGAGTATAAAAAAAATGAACTCATTTTCATTCCTCAGAGAATCCCAGAAATGCTACTGGAGACAAAAGTCAATATAACTATTTTTCTATGTTGCAAACTCTTCAAAATATATTGATTAACAGGGTTGTCTATCACATGCTTACACTCCCAGCATTCTTGAGACAAGAGAAGCAGCAAAAGTATTGCTATCCTGATCACCTGTGATTCCTTACATAGTTAGACCCAGTATCAGAATCCCCGATCACATCTGTCTGTCTATTTGCCTCCACTGACTCCTACTATTTGAATAGTGCTGGTATCTTTCGTGCTTCTTGTTAGATCCTGAACTGGCTTACCTGCATTTGTGTCCTGGTCAGTTTCTAGGCAATTGCATGGAGTCAGTTTTCTCCTCTTTGATTAGAAATATAGTAGACACTAAGTAAATTTTCTAATGTAGTTTCTAGTGTAATGGCCACATACTTTTAAAAGTTTAGTTTTTTCTTTGTGCATCTCCTGATTTTAGTTTTGTCCGTGAGTCTCTTCTCCCTTGTACAGTCTCTCAGTTTTTTCTCCCTATTGTTCTGTAGTAACGCCTTAACATCCTTGCTTTTCATCAGCAAAGACTGTCCCACATTTTTCATTTTACTTTATTTCTGTTTTCTGATAAATTTCTGTTTCTAGGGCTGGAAGTATAACTTGGAGGTGGAGTGCTTGGCTAGTGTGCTTGAGGCTCTGAGTTTGATTCCTAGCCCACTACTCCCTCTCCAAAGTTTCAAGTGAGCACAGTGTCTGTAATCCCAGCATTTAGGAGGCAGGAGGATATCTTCAAGTAAAACATCAGTTAGGGCTACATAGTTAAGACCTTATCTCACAAAACAAAACAAAGCTGGGAGTAGTGGTGTGTAGTTTTGATCCCAGCACGAAGGAAGAACAGGCGAGCCAGGTTTATAAAGCAAGTTCTGGGACAGCCAAAGCTACATAGAGAGACCACGTTTCAATTGCTTCGTCGAACAAACAAACAAAAGTGTTCTAATATAAGCCATGCCTGTTGTTTATCCTTTCCTTTGATCTCTTTTATTCATGTAGCCTTCTGCATGTTGATACCACAGTAATCAGCTGAGTATTTTTTTCTTCTACTCATTTTTTATTTGTTTGATTTTGTGGGACTGGGACTCAAACCCAGAATCTCGTGCATGCTGTGTAGGCACTATACCACTCAGCTTTATCACCTGCTCAGATTTGTTTTTTGTTTGTCTTTTTATTCCTGCTGGAATTTATTTTACTATGTATAGTATAAAATAAAAGGGTATTGTTTTCCTGAAGAATTTATTAATTATTCTAGCCCTCTTTTGATTTACTTTCTATAATGTAAAAAATACTTAAATTGAGCTGTGCAGTAGTGTTGTACACTTTTGATCCCAGCAATCAGGAGGCAGCAGCAGGTGGATCTCTAAGTTTGAGGTCAGCCTGGTCCATAGAGCAAGTTCCATGATAGCTAGGGCTACACAGAAAAACCCTGTCTTGGGGGGAAAATTATTATTATTTTTTGGTTAAAATTTGTTATTTTAAGCTTTTGAGGGGGAGGGGGCAGCGTCTCTTTTTGTAGCTCTGGCTGTCCTGGAGCTCACTCTGTAGAACCAGCTGACCTCAAACTCACAGAGATCTGCCTGCCTCTGCCTCCCAAGCACTGGAATCAAAGGGGTGGGCCAGCACACCTAGCTAATTATTATTTTAAAAGATGTTGATTTATGAGGATTGGAGAGGTGGCCTAGTTGTTAGAGTGCTGGTTGTTCTTCTAGAAGACCCAGCTTGCAGCTGTCTATAATTTCAGATCCAATTGCTCCAACTTCTGCTTCCTTAGGTAGGCAAATGCCCACAAGCATTTAAAAAAAAAAAAAATAGACTCTCAGCCGCATAGGGTGTTGCACACCTTTAATCCTACCACTTGGCAGGCAGATTTCTATGAGTTTGAGATCAGTCTAGTCTACATAATGAGTTCCAGGACAGCCAGAGCTACACAGTAATACCTGTCTCAAAAAAAGAAAAAGGAAAAAAAAAAAAAAAAAAAAAAAAAAAAGGATATACAGGAAGAAAAGAAATCATGAGCCAGGTAGTGGTGGCAAACACCTTTGATCTCAGTACCAGGAGGCGGAGATAGTTGGATTTCTGAGTTTCTGAATTCAAGGCCAGTCTGGTCTACAAAGCAAATTCCAGGATAACCACAGTTGCATATAGAAACCCTATTTTGAAACACCTCCCCATTTCTTCCCCACCGCCACTGCCAAAAATAAAAATTTGTTCTGTCAGACTTACTCCTTCATGTTTATTTACCAGTTATCCAGTCTCCCCCAGTTAGTCCTTATCAATAAATTTGTCCTTTTGTTCAACCTCTTATATCATTGTTTTGTACCCTCCCCCATTGCTCAGTATTGAAGCTAGGGCCTTCTGCATGCTAGGCAGTGTACCACTGAGCTCTAGCCGCAGCCATATATTTCTTAATTATTTATTTATTTTTGTTTTATGTGCATTGGTGTTTTGCCTGCATGTATGTTTGTATGAAGTGTCATGAACAGGAGTTACAGACAGTTGTGAGCTGCCATGTGGATGATGGGCATTGAACCTGGATCCTATGGAAGAGCAGCCAGTGCTCTTAACAGCTGAGCCATCTCTCTAGCCCTGCCACAGCCATATTTTTTATTTTAAATTACTTTTTAATGAAGTAACTTTTGGCAAACAAACACTACATAGATAGCCATTTCAAGTACCACATTTTAATGAAGATTTGTGTCTCCTGTGTTATTTGAGGAGACTGATATTTCTTTCCAAAGTGGTCAGGGTTGTACCCAGGGCAACCCAGAGCACCACATGCCCATGTGGTCCTATTTGGTCTTTTGGAATTCCCTGAGCACACACTTGCACAGACAAAGCTGCCTTACTGTATCCTTTCGTTCTTTCCTTGTGGTGGTTCTCCCAGTCCTACCTCATCGGGGTCCTTGAGGGGGGGTTGTGTGGGGGGTGGCTGCCTAGTTTTGTTGGTTGTTGTACTGTAGTGTGCTGCTTGGGCCCTCAGTGATCAGAGGGGAAAGTGTTGGCTCCATCTCAGTGCTGTTAAGCAGTTCTCCTACACCTGTTCATAACCACTCACTGCAGTTCTGCTTCTTGGTTCATCACATTTGTAACCAAAAATGTTAGGGGAAAAAAAACATAGCTTTAAGAAAATACTAGCGCGCCTTTAGTCCCAGCACTCAGGAGGCAGAGGCAGGCGGATCTTTGTGAGTTCCCAAGAGCCTGGTCTACAAGAGCTAGTTCCCGGACAGTGTCCAAAGCCACAGAGAAACCCTGTCTTGAACCCCCCCCCCAAGAAAAAAAAGAAAATACTAGCCAGGCATGGTGGCTCATACCTTTGATCCCATCACATCACTCAGGAAGCAGAGGCAGGTAGATGTCTGTTCAGCCTGACTTACATAGTGAATTCCAGTTTAGCCAGGGCTAGTGCAGTAAAAAATATAATTGAGAAAAAAATATTAGTAAACTGTGTATATTTCATTCCCTATCATATACTAATTAAAATTTTTTGTTTTATCAGGTGGTGATATGTCTAAGAATGTGAGTCAGTCACAGATGGCAAAGTTGAATCAACAGATGGCCAAAATGATGGATCCACGAGTTCTTCATCACATGGGTAAATACAAAAGCCTTGGCCAATTGTAGCATACAGTTAATTTATAGAGTTGTAGTTTAATGGTAAGACTTTGGTAGTGATATATGAAACCTGTTTAAAGGTAAGTGATGGAATGGAGAAGATCATCTGAATCCTGACTAGTCAGTCATCCTGGATAAGCAAAGTGTTTTGAACAGTTTCTGAAGAGCTGTGTGTCTCTGTGTCTGGTGTGTATGATGTGAGCATGTGCTCATGCTGTATTGCTCTCATGGAGATCAAAGAACAAACTTCCAAGTCAGTCCCCGCCTTCTGCCTTGCTGAAGCAGGGTCTTGTTTTTGCTGCTACACTGTATAGTCCAGGCTAGTGGACTTAAAGCCTTTATCTTTGTGGAGCGTTGAGGTTACCGATGCACACTGCTGCATGTAGCTTTCTGCATGGGTTCTAGGAATTCATGTGGGTCATCAGGCTTGAGCAGCTAGCACTTTTACTTCCTGTGTGTGTGTGTGTGTGTGTGTGTGTGTGTGTTGTGTATAGTAGAACAAGTATATGTGATATGTGCAGACCATTCCTTCCTCTCTTGCTCTCCACCTTTTTAAAAATAGTGTCTCTAACTGAGCTAACTTGGTTGGAGCTTGCTGTTTCAGCTAGGCTGGCTGGCCACCAAGCGATCTACATGGCTCTTTGCTCTCCTCTCTTCCCCCCCAGACTTGGGATTTTAGAAGCACTGGCCCCTGTGCCCAGCTTTGTGCAGGTGCTGTGCATCCAAATTCAGGTCCTCATGCTTATGCAGCTTGCTACCTCAGGAGGCATCTGCCAAACCCAATTTATTTTCTAGTTTTTAAAAATTATTTTATCTTGTTTATTTGGGGATTTGAGGAGGGGTTTGAGATAGTGTCTCACTATGTAGTTCTGGCTGCCCTGGAAGTTGGTATGAAGGCTAAGCTGGCCTTTACCTCAAAGAGATCTGTCTGGCTTTACTTTCCAAGTGCTGGGATTAAAGGTTGTGCCACCATGTCTGGCCTATTGGGTAATGTGGGGGCAAACTATTTTGCTTTGTCTGGGTTGAAATAGAATTTCAGGTAGTTCATACTGGCTGGGTCTTACTGCACAGCCCAGCTTGGTCTTGAGCTTCTGACTTCCTGCCTTTCTCCCAAGTGCTGGGCTTCCAGGTGGAGTCCTAAGGATTGAGCCTGAGCCCCGTGTATATTGGACAGGCACTCTCCCACTGAGTTGCCTCCCAGCCTGATCATCTGTTCTTAATACTTCTTCCATTGACCTTTCCCCTATTTTAGATGGGTATTTTTATTTATAGAACTTATGAAATCACAAATTCTTGAACTCCAATTTCATTTTTACTATGTAATCTCTGAAAAGTCTCCAAAACTTTATAAACTTCACTTTCCTTTTCTATAAAAATTTTAGATAATGGGACTGGATTTTAGATACATGGTAGCTGTAGCTACAGCCTCAAAAGGTCTAGCACTTCTGTCCTCTGCTGTACATATCAGCTACATACATGTTACACAGGCATATGTACTGCCAAAATACCCACATGCAAAAATTTTAGATAATGGCTCATCAGGAGATTTTGAAAAAATAAATGAGCTGATAATGCATGTGAAAGCCTTTAGTATAGTTCTGGGCATATAGTAAGTGCTTAACAAATGGTGAATTCTTTTTTTTTTTTTCCTGTAATTCTTTGAAACACAGCCCCTATCCCGAATTGATCAGTTTGTATAAAACTAATTTTCATTACAAGAAGACCTAGTCTTGTCATAGAAAATGTTTTGTTTAAGAGTTCTTGATTGTGGACAGGAACTATTCCAAGATCTTTTCATTTTTTACCTTATTCCTCATGGTAACTTCATGAAGCACATTTTTCATTTTCTTTTCTAGATGAAAATAAAGCTTATAATACACATTTCAATTTGGTATGCTTTTAAAGGCTACTCACTAAACTGCTGTCAAAACACTTTTTTAAAAATTAAAGTACTTGGGGGCTGGAGAGATGGCTCAGAGGTTAAGAGCACTAACTGCTCTTCCAGAGGTCCTGAGTTCAATTCCCAACAACCACATGGTGGCTCACAACCATCTATAATGAAATCTGGTGCCCTCTTCTAGCCCGCAGGCATACATGCAGGCAGAACATTGTATACACAATAAATAAAATCTTTAAAAAAAAAATCTAAAAAGATATTTAAAAAAAAATTAAAGTACTTGTTAGGCAAAAGCAGTAACTATTTCAGAGTTCACGTGGTAATGACCTGTTTTACTCTCTTTTCCCTTTAGGTGGCATGGCGGGACTTCAGTCAATGATGAGGCAGTTTCAGCAAGGTGCTGCTGGCAATATGAAAGGCATGATGGGTTTCAACAACATGTAAAGAAGATGCCTTCATATAAACTGCCGTGGTTGATTATGTCATCTGCAAGTGGGGGAGAAGAATTTTCTGGCCTGTCTTGCTCTCATTCTTTTGTCTCACCCTTTTCCTTTTGTCTTCCTTCTCTTCTTCTGACATAAGGGAGGAGTGGCTGGTTTTTTCCAAAAGTCATCATATTTCTGCTTTAAATCTTCTGTTAGTTTCACTGTCATAACACTTCTTAAGTTAAACAAATCATGATGTAAAATTTTAGTACATAAAGGTTTTTAATTGTCTCAAAAGCCAAGCATTACATTTATAAACAGTCCCGATCAGTAAAATTACATGATATTGAAGAAAAGTGCTGCAAAATAAACTTCAAGTGATAAGTTAAAGGGTTGTTAACTTTCTTTATGGTTTAACGTGGTCAGTGTACCCCCCCCCAGAAAGTAGACAAAGAGCTAACGGATACATTTAAAGGGAGATATGGTAGAATAATCTAATCATGAATATTAGGAAATGTTATTTATTTTAGAATAAAATAACTTTATTACAAAAAACTCAGCTTTGCTATTTAAATTGAAATCAAGAGTTTGATTATAGTTCATAATGTGTGATGTTTGTATCCAACTTAAATGTTTTACATGTTTTGGGAGTTCCATAGTCCTTGATTGTTTTTAAAGCCATTTTTGTGTTTCTTACATATTACTGAAAAATTATGTTTTGATAATAGATAACACATAAATTTTCTGATGGGAAATGAATAATTAAATCATTAGGCTATATAGTGTTGTATATTAAAAATAATAAGGCCATGACAAAGTTGGTTGGGTTATTGGTAACTACTGCTGCATGTGTCTATGTGGGCGTACTTACGCTGTAGCATAAGCGTGGATGGAGTGCCGATGTTAGAAGACAACTTTGGTTTTTTTTTGTTTTTTTTTTTTTTTTTGGTGACACAGGTCTCACTATGTAGCTCTGGCTATCCTGGAACTCACTCTGTATACCAGGCTGGCATCACACTTGCATAGGTCTGCCTGCCTCTGCCTCCCGAGTGCTGGGATTAAAGGTGTGAGGTACCACACTGGGCTTCAGACAACTTGGCAGAAGTCAGTTCTCATTTCATCGTGTGGATCTAGAGATTGAACTCAGATCAATCACACTTGGCACCAAGTGCCTTTCTCCACAGAGCCATGTCATAGGCCACAGTTCTTCAGACAGAAAACCAAAAAAACTGTGTGTGTGTGTGTGTGTGTGTGTGTGTGTGTATTCAAGTTCATGCATGCGCATGCCAGAGTACATCAGGTGCTAGTCTTTGCCTTCTACGTTGTTTAAGACAGGGTCTCTTGTTTTTTCTGCATAGCCAGGTTAGTTGGCCTTTTGGGGAATCTCTAGTGTTCACCTCCCATCTTGCTGTGGAAGTGCTGAACTACATTGCTACTGTTATAATTTAAGAAAGCTCTAGAGAAAAAGATGACATGTGACATGTGGGTTCAAGCAGAGGGGATTTTTATTAAGGAAAGGGATTATAAAAAGGAGAAAGGGAAGCGGGGAGACCGGCCTCCAGAGACAGGAACACCAGGAGAGAAGAGAAAGGAAAGGGGGAGAGAGAGAGGGAGGGAGAGGAGAGGAGAGAGAGGAACAGATGGGGGGTGGGATAGGAGATGGGCAGGGCCTTTTTAAAAAGGGAACATAGTGAATGTGCACAGGTGGTGCTCTTAGTGGCTGCAGCTGAGTGCATATCCTGTCAGAACCCCAAGGATAGACCAGTACAGATGCCTGAATACTAACGGCTCCTGTGTCTACCTTTGGTTGGTTTTAGGAGAAAGGCTCAGACTGGTCTGGAATTCAATGACAAGTCTTCTGCTTCAGCCTCCTAAATGCTGTAATTATAGTGAATTACCATTCTTTGAAAAGTATTTGCATAAAGAATACAGTTTAGCTGGGCATGGTACTGCTTAGCAAGTCCCAGTATTTAGGAGGCTGAGACGGGAAGATCATGAGTTGGAGGCCAGCCCGAGTTATGTAGACCCTGTCTCAAAAACTAAAAGTGAAACAAAAAGAATGCAACTGATTCTGTGTTTTGCTTAGGTAGAGATATTATAGCCAATAATTCTACTGGGCACTGTATCCTGGAAAATTTACACATTTTGTGTTCTTCAGAATTGGCATAGCAAGGTATAGCTATAGAAATCTGAAACCAGAGAAAATGCTAATTAAACTGCCCACTGCCTTTTCTGGGTATGCATGCTAGTGATTTCTGTTTTCTGGGTATTTTGTTTTGACTAAATAAAGATAAATGAGGTGAACTTTTGGCCATAACATCTTGAGTGCCTTCTGCATGGGTTTTGCTGTTTTTATATCTGATTTGAATTTATTTCTCAAAAACTAAAACAGTGGCGAAAGGGCAGTTAAAGATCAGGATGCCCCTGGGTCAGTATATTAGTCAGGGTTCTCTTGAGTCACAAACTATGGAAAATACACACACATACACACAGAGTTCATTGGAATGATTTACAGGCTTCAATCCTACAATGACTAACTGTGAATGGAAAGTCCAAGAATCTAGTAGTTGCTCAGTCCCATCAGGTTGGGTGTGTCTCAGCTGGTCATATTCTGTGTATGTTGGAATCCTGAAGAAGTAGGCTCCAGTGCCAGTCAGCGATCTACAACTCTGAATTTGGATTGATTGTTGTTTTCTGTAATGGTATCTGTATGTTGCAAGGAGTGTTTTTGATGAGGGGTGAGGACTACATTTTATCTGTTGGTACAGGACAAAGATTTAGAATGTAGTTAGGAGTTACATTGGTTTAGTAAATTGGCAGTTGTTGGCTCCTGGGTAGTTGCCTAGGTTTCCAGTGTCAGGCATAATTTCCAGTCCAATCAGAACTGTTGGTTACCACCAAGATATGTGTGCCACATATGTGGTCCATGTAAAGGGAGAAAAGGCATGAAAGCAGGGACAGCTGAGAATTCACATCTTAATCTGCAAGTAGGAGGCAGAAAGACACTGGCAAGGGGAAGAGGCCTTTACAACCTCAAAGCCTACCTCTGGAGACACGTCTCCTCTAACAAGGCCACACCTCCTAGTCCTTCCTGAAACAGTCCTACCAACAGACCAGGTTTGAAGTTTATGAGCCTGTGGGGGCCATTCCCATTCAAAACACCAAAGAACCAAATCCAGCCAGGAAGGTCTTACTGAAGAGCAGCAAGTCCCCTTAACCATTCTCCAGTCCCGAATCTCTTAAAAAATTAAATTTAATTACAGTGTTGACCACTACAGTATTTTTTTTTTTTTTTTGACCACTACAGTATTTTATCAGATGTCATCTTAATGCCCTCTGCTTTGGGACTGAAAGTTACTGGTGTGGTTAATTTACATCTCAGTTGCTAAGAAATTAGCTTAAACTTTACCTCTAGATGAGTTGTCTAGGCTGTGGCATGTTATTGTAGTAGTTAGGTGTTGTATGTACATGTTCTGTACTAGTTTCTCCCAGTGTTTTACAAGGCCAAAGGACATTTATCTATGCTTACTGCTGAGTGCTTGCTCACCTATGGGCTTAAGCTAATTCCCTGCACTGACTTATGTTTGTACACTGTGTGAAGATGTATTGCTATGGTTGGTTTAATAAAGAGCTGAATGGTTAATAACTAGGCAGGTAAATGGGATTGCCTGGCAGAGAGGAAGTATGAGGAGATTATTGAGGCTTAGGAGATGCCAACTAAGATATGGAGGGAGTCCAACATATGGAATGAAAGAAAGGTAAAAAGCTACGTAGTAAAACATAGATTAATAGAAATGGGTTAATTTAAGTTATAAGAGCTAGTTAGGAATAAACCTGGCTATAGGCTGAGCTTTCATAATAAGTCTCTGTGTCATTATTTGGGAGGGGGCAGGATAGAGAAAGACTTGTTACATGGTAGCAGAGTATTGATATAGAGGTGATTTTCTGCTTTTAGAGTGAAACTACACCTTATAAGGCAGTATAATTTTTAATATTTTATTAATGTGAGCCTATCATGTAAATTCTTTTGGACATTGTTTCTTTTTTGAAACAGGGCCTCACTATGTATAGGTCTTGGCTGTCCTTGAACTCACTATGTAGACCAGGTTGTCCTTGAACTCACAGAGATTTTCCTGATTCTGCCTCCTTAGTTCTGGGTTTAAAGGTGTGCAGCACTGTGCCCAGCTGACATGTATATCTTATATTTGACAAACTCTCATTTCTTTTCCTCTAGATTAGCCTCACTTTGCTTAAGAGATCCTTATTAGCCTAAAATAATGAATTTACCAATACTAGTTGGATCATAAATGTTAAAAACAACAACAACAAAAACAAAACAAAACAAAACAAAAAACTAAGGGGCTGGAGAGATGGCTCAGAGGTTAAGAGCACTGACTGCTCTTCCAGAGGTCCTGAGTTCAATTCCCAGCAACTACATGGTGGCTCACAACCATCTGTAATGAAATCTCGTACCCTCTTCTGGCCTGCAGGGATACACGCAGACAGAACACTGTATACATGATAAATAAATAAATCTTAAAAAAAAAAAAAACAGCTAAGAAATTGCATATAGTACATACTGCTAAGAGAGATGAGGTGTGCCTGGCATTAAGAAATGCCTAAAGTGGCTGGGCGTTGGTGGCAAATGCCTTTAATCCTAGCACTTGGGAGGCAGAGGCAAGCGGGTCTCTGAGTTCAAGGCTAGACTGGTATACAGAGTGAGTTCCAGGACAGGCTCCAAAGCTATAGAGAAACCCTGTCTCGAAAAACCAAATAAACAGAAAGGAAGGAAGGAAGGAAGGAAGGAAGGAAGGAAGGAAGGAAGGAAGGAAGGGAAGGAAGAGATGCCCAAGGCACTCTACATGCCCTGTAAACACAAGCATGATTGTGTTGCTTTGAAGAAACAAAGCACTAAGAAAAATGAGGAACCTGTGGAATACGCCAAACTTTTGACCAAGAGAGTGAAGGAAGGAAAAGAAGCAACAGGAACGGATTGCCAGGAGATGTAGGCTGTACTCCATGAGAAAAACTTCTAAGTCTGATCTAGTCAAAAATAAGAATAACAAGTTATCAGACCTTGAAAAAAAGAAATCAGAGCCAGGCAGTGGTGGCTCAAGCCTTTGATCCCAGGACTAAGAGGCAGCAGAAGGTAGATCTGTGAGTTTGAGGCCAGAGCCTGTTCTACAGATTGAGTTACAGGTCAGCCAGGACTGTTAGACAGAGAAACCCAGACTTTAAAAACGAGAGAGGGAGAAGAGAAAGGAAAGGAAGGAAGGGAAGAAAGGAAAAGAAATGCTCCATCAGGGCAGAGAGATGGGTCAGCAGTTAAAATAATGAGTGCTCTTTTGGAGCATCTGGGTTCAGTTCCCACACCCATATGGCAGCTATCC